GTTGGTCTGACGTTGACCTTGGAGCTAATCTATGCTGATCTTAGTGCTGATTATTGGTGCAGAGGTGCTAGAGTCTTTTTTTCCCTTTTGGCTAGTTGATTGTCTCTTTTGCATAATCTATTGATGTTGTTAATGTCTATATGTCTATTGATGGCTGATTTGTCAGAGTGCCAGGCTTCTAGAAATTCCTTGGCATTTTGGGATTTGGCCTGGTTTAGGATTGTCACATTTTCCCAATTGAAACTATGGTTAAATCTGTCTATATGTTGCCTTTTTACTGCCAATTGGTGTTCATGGATGCTTTCTGCCAGTCTTCTGCTTGTTTGTCCTACCTAGTGATTGTTGCAGTTGCAGTTCTTACATTGTATGTTGTAGTAGATGAGTCTTCTGGTTTGCTTAGGATGTTTTGAAGGGCTTTAGTTGGCTTGTGTGCTATGCTGATTCCATGTGGTAGTAGCAGTCTATTTGCGGTTTCTGATACAATCAACTAGCCTAAAAGAGAAAAAAGATTCCAGCACTTCTCCACCAGCAATCAGCACTCAGATCAGCATAGATTAACTCCAAGGTCACTTTCAGATCAACAGTCAAGTAAGCAATAACCCAATCAAGAAACTGCCAAAGAACCATCAGTAAACAACCCAATCAAAGAATCTCTAAGACCATCCCTCCCCCAAAGAGAGATAAGACACCAGAATATAAACGGACAGCAAATATCACTCCTTACTAGCACTGATGATGTTACCTAGTTAGGGTAATGAAACATCTGAAAGAAAACAAGCAAGCTCAGAGAGCACCAAGGAATCCCCATTTCAACCCTGAGCTACAAATATTCTCCTTCATACACACACAGATACAGACACATACACACACACATACACACATGCACAAACAGATAATAAATATTCTAAAAACTTTATGGGGAGGAACAGACTCAGGCTCAACCCCTCCAAGACCGAGTGGCTGTGGCTGCCGGCGCCGCGGCATAGTCAGCTGACTCCATCGCTGACTATAGGGGGGCGAAATCTTGGCCCCCTCAGAGAGGGCCCGCAACTTGGGAGTCCTCCTGGATCCACGGCTGACATTGGAAGATCATTTGTCGGCCGTGACCAGGGGGGCGTTTTATCAGGTCCGCCTGATCCACCAGTTGCGGCCTTTTCTGGACCGGGACGCCTTGCGCACAGTCACTCATGCTCTCGTCACCTCTCGCCTGG